TCTCTTTTTAACTGTCTTTCTGGATCGTCAACCACTACGGTACCACGATCTCTCCGACGTCAAGCTGCTCATTTCGCCATTCGTGATCGGCTACTACACCGACGCAACTACGCCCCCGAAGGTCGTAAGTGGCTCTTGGTTGTCCCGCGCAGCTTGCGATCACAAATCTGCGCCTCCTTTCACGACGATCCCCAATGTGGTCATGCCGGAGTTTTCAAAACTTACGAACGCATTCATCATCGCTTCTGCTGGCGCGGAATGTATAATTTCGTTCGAAAATTCGTTATGGGCTGTCCTGACTGTCAACGTCGCAAATCACCGCCTTTCCACTCGTCCGGTGCGCTTCAACCGCTTCCGTGCCCTGCCAAACCTTTCGATCGGATCGGAATTGATCTCTATGGCCCTCTACCGACAACATCAGATGAAAATCGGTGGATTATAGTCGCTGTGGACCATTTAACACGCTACGCTGAGACCGCCGCCCTTCCAAGTGCCACTGCGCGGGATGTAGCATCCTTCATCCTTCATCGCTTCATATTACGACATGGTGCACCTCGAGAACTACTAAGCGACCGAGGTCGAGCCTTCCTATCAGAAGTCGTCACGTCTCTGCTTTCTGAATGCCATGTTGTTCATCGCAAGACCACGGCATACCACTCGCAGACTAACGGGCTCACGGAAAGATTTAACCGCACCCTTGGCGATATGCTCGCCATGTATGTGACATCCAATCATACTAACTGGGATCGCATTCTTCCATTCATTACGTTCGCATATAACACCGCGGCACAGTCTACCACTGGATTTTCACCTTTCTTTCTTCTTTATGGACGCGAACCATCCCACACCATCGATACTCTCCTTCCATACCGTCCTGACGCATCCGAATGCCCATCTGTGTCCGAAGCTGCCCGAAATGCGGAAGAGTGCCGTGAACTCGCACGCACCTTTACGTCTCGAGAACAACAGCGCCAGAAAGAAAACAACGTCGACTCTTCACAAAGCCCCAGCTATTCCCCGGGATCACTTGTATGGCTGGCTGTTCCTTACCAAACCCCCGGCATTTCCTCAAAACTCGTTCCAAAGTACGAGGGCCCATACCGCGTTTTGGAGCAAACCTCGCCGGTGAATTTTCTCATCGAGCCACTTTCCCCATCTGACGACATGCGCCGGCGTGGACGTGACATCGTCCACGTCGCCCGCCTTAAGCCATATTATAGTCCTCTGCCTCCAGACTCTTAGGTCGCCAGGATGGCTCTTTTTCGGCGGGGGCAAATTGTGAAGAAGAAAGAGCATCGTTGGCAAGCAACATCGCCACCGCTTGGGTACTGGGTGCTGGGCTTGGCTCGCTCGGCTCGTGCTGATCATCGCCGGCATCTGCTTGACCGTTGCTCTTGCACGATCGTGTTTCTTCGTAGGACCACCGTCGCAACAGTCGTCAATAAACCCTTTTTCAATTCGAATATTCGAGTCGCTCAAATATTCACTCATCCTTAGGCCAGACTTAGTCTTTAAAGGGGCATTACTATCCATATTTTTTTAATTCTGCACTCACGCGAGGGGAGCTTGTGTGGTAAGGCCCATTTACACAAAAGTTATGTAGTGCAGAACTTTCATGAGCAATATCTTAGTTCAATTAGACTCACTCAAACACGCTCTACATACTATAATAACATTTGTTCGAATTGGTTTAAAACATCCATTTTTGTTTTACTGGATAAGTTATTTATTCCACGTTATTGCTATAAGCCGATTTGTTTTACTACTCTCACAGTTCAATGATAAATCTTGCTCCAAACCATACAAAACCTATTTAACATTCTGACAACTACACATAATATTAAAACAATAATTTCATGTTTGAAATCAGCACACAAAGGTACATAACCTGTGAAAGTTTCATAAAAATTTGCTTTAAAAAATGTTTTTCCGAAACAGGGTCTTCCTTTAGGGCCAGTAAAAAGGCTCCTACTTTTTTTTTACACGCACCATACAAGCTCAGCAATTCATAGATTGGACCGCGCAACGATCACATTTTCTGAATATTACACCGCTGCACACCGCGCAGAGCCTCTATTTCGAAAAACAATTCCCGCACATATTTCCTACGCCTGACCGACCCCCTTGCACGCACAGTGACGTCTACTCGGCGATCGGCGACGTGATGTAGCACGCAGCTCGCCGATTGGTCTAAATCAGGTGTGAAAAAACATCAGTGAAGTCAACGTCAGTTCTTGTTCCCACCCACAGCTATGATACTGCCCCTTATTTCTTGGTACTGCGGTGAAAGAACCAGCCTCGCAGTTCCACTCTTCGTGTCCACTCTTCGCTCAACTACAGTGCCTGTGCGCACGTACGAATGTACTTCGCCCTTGACATGAGCCACACGGGTAAAAAGCGTTGCTCTGCCGTCGGCTGCAAATCGAGCAGCTGGGCAGCGGAGAAGCATCGTCACCGGGTGCCTCACGATAGGGCACTGCGCGCTGCATGGCTGAAGCAAATCGGCCATCCAACGACGTACGCCGGGGACCTGATCGTTTGTGCTCAACACTTCACACCTGATGCTAACACGGCTGACCCGCGGCTGGTGCGGCAAATGGTAAACAAGCAACCATGCTTCACAGCAAGCGGAAGTGCGCTGCGACTGATAGAGTTCACCGATGACGTCAATCGCGGACGTGGTGTCATGCTGCCGAAGTGGATGGAGTCACGACGATGGGTTACGCCTTCCCCTTCATGGAAGGGAGAAGAGGACCAGGCTGTGCGAAAATTTGAAACCAGCTTAGACCAATGTTCTAACCCCCGTAACTTTCTTAATATAGCACATATTCGCAAAATTCTTGCGGCAGCATGTTTGCAAAAAAAAACTGCACATATATCTCTTTTTAAAAATTTTTTGACCTCAGGGCTGTTTACTGGCCCTTTAAATCTATGACCGCTTGGAGATCAATCTAATTAATTTTTACCGCTTACGAGTTACGTAGGCCCTAGGAAACGCTATCAAATATATGATGTCACATCGTTTGTTACGGGAATGTCAAGGTGGCTTCGGCAGCCGCATTTTCTCTTTGTGCATTTTCTCGCTTACCAAGTCTACCTCTGCAGCAAGCCTGGAGATTTTGGTCTTGTAAAAGAGTAATCTACTAATAATAGGGAAATTGTGTTTCTCCCTAGCGTCACTCAGCAAAAAGAGGCTCTTCACTCGCTGCTCCATGGGATGCGAAAGGACTACGGCACTCTAGTACAGCTGGCATACAAAAAATTACCGTATTTACTCGATTCTACCGCGCCCTCGATTGTAACGCGCACCCGATTTCCACCGCGAAAAAAAAAAAAAAAAACGTAAGACATCGATTGCAACGCGCACCCATTTTTCTCGCTGGCCCGCACGATCACACCACTCGAAAAAACGACTCCTTTCGTGAGCGTCTTCCATTTAAATATGAGGTACGGGCGAAGCTTGTGCTCATCTGACGTGTAACAGAGCATTGCCGTCACTGTAGTTTTACCGTGGACCGATGTCAGCACATGAACTTGCTTCGTCCCCTTCTTCTCGACGGTTGTGGTGCCAGGCATGTCGAAGTAAAGAGGTGTCTGATCGGCATTCCCGATTTGCCCAAGCAGGTAGCCGTTGTTGCGCCGCAAGTTTAGGACGAACCTCTGAAAACTGTGAAGCTTTTCATCGTATTCCTCCGCAAAACTTTTCGCATATGCATGTTCTCCTTCGGAGGAAAAAGCCTTTCCTCTTCATAAAGTTAGTTATCCAGCACCTGCTCGCTTTAAACTGGCTCCGCATTAGACTTTTTTCTAAGACTAATTGCATAGCCCGCACTTGGAGCAGTTCTGTCGTCACGGGCCGCTGTGCCGCTCGCTGCGCAAGCACATACTCGCCGAGCAGCTCCTTAATTTGCGGAAACCGACCCTGCTGTGGTCCACTGAAGCCTTTGCGAGAAGCTTTGCTGTCGACAATCTTCTGCTTTTGTTTCCGCCGGTCCCGCACGCACGTTTCGGGAACTCCGAACGACCGCGATGCGGCCCGATTTCCGTCCGTTTCTGCACACGCGATGACTTTTCTTTTAAAAGCGGCATCGTGGTGCACTCGAGTTTTCGGAGTCAACCCTTCCATGCCGTCGATGCTAATGCACTACTAGATAACGAACTGCTCAGCACACGTACGAAGTGCCGCACATGGGAAACACAGGCAGAAATGGCCGATGCGTCATGCCGACGCACGTAGGGGGCGGCCATTTTGGATTTGCCGATGGCAATAGATTGACCGTAATTTTTTTGTTCGTACTCGATTCTAACGCGCATGCGATTTATGAACCCGCTTAACCGGAAAAAAGGTGCGCGTTAGATTCGAGTAATTACGGAGGTTATGCCATACCGACACACCGTGGTGTGTGCGTAGCGTGATTCTCTGGCTGCAGTATTTGAGAACGCAGAGAAGGAATGTGACTGGTGAGGGCTAGACAGGGCAAGTGGCAAGGGTGTGCGGCTTTCCTACATCATGGTTGTGGTTGTGTGCCATTTCAAAATAATTTTGACCTCATCTTGTAACAGATCAATAACGTTCTAACATTGCTATATGGTCTCATGAAGGGTCCATCAAGGTTTTAGTGCTATCACCTCGTGAAATTATGAAACAAACGGCATCCACTATGGCCCACTTAACTGTTCAATAAAAATGGAGAATCGCAGAGCATTTGTTTATTTATACTAGTTACATACAACATCATAATTGGTTATAAAAGAAAGATACCAAAAACGACAATAAAAGCGTATAAAGCAAAAACAGGTAACGAAAAGGCTAAAAAAACAGTCATTAGTGTTAGTGAGAATAAAACCATATAATAACAATCTATGGAGCCAAGTTTATATACATGGATAATGTTTCTGGCTAAAAAAATGGCATCTATGAGATCAAAGCATTAAATTTTTTGACACCACATAAGTGAACGAATGTCTCATGAGAGCAATATGACCAGAAGACATGTTACCTGGTCCAGTCCTTTGCAAACTCCACCCAGTCAATCATGCTCTCCTCGGAAACTTGCAGTGCATACACCCTGCCATAAAAAGAATGTCTTACGGAGCTCATTCACAAAAGAGTGCCCACATAGACAGAACATATTACCACATCAAATATTCTACGAGCAAGCAAAGGCTTGAGCTCTTTGCAGCCGAGTTGTATTCCTTACAGAAGACTAGTGCCAATAGTGCTGGCATGAACAAAGTTACGAAGTCACAATTTACATGAGAATAGTAACTTGTACTGAAACTTTCACTCATACTAGTAAATAAAAACATGCACCATGAACTCATAATACCAACTGGAGTGAGAAAAGATAGATACAAAACCATAGCTGAAAAAGAAAACAGTATATGACCTTGCACACACATGCATACACGTGATTCATGTGATGTGTGCACCACACGAAAAATTTGTTAAGCCGAGATAATAACTACCGCTGCCCACCAAAAACAGAAAATTATGCAAATTCAATGCAACGTTACAAAGACTTGTATAAAGAGTCTCCAGGCAAGTCCCCAGAGGTAAGTATAAGAGGTATGAAGTTGACTAGTGGATGCTCCACCTGGATTGATCACTTTCAGAAATGTTAATTTTGCATGGATGCTTAATCATTAAGCAAGTGAACAAAATTCCTGCCGCTCCAGCAAGTTATTCCATCAATAGCCCCATTTCTTCATGTGATATGAGTTAGTTAGTTAGTTAGTTAGTTTAGCAATGCAAAAATTACATAAGGCCCCCGTCACAGAACGGTGAAACAGTACCGCTAGTGAATGCAGCATAGACATCTAAACGCTATTAAGCATGGAATGCTCTTAGATCCTGTTTAAGACCTTCAAGTGACCTTGTGCCAGAAAGCCAGAGCTGTTATATGGGCACTCAAAAGAGATCGTCTTGGAGCCTACCTAAGAAAAAAATTAAAGCCATTTCATGCTGTGAAGAGGCAGGCCAGAACAGCTGCTGGGTCTCTGCTCTTGTCTTGTTCTTCATAAGCGTGCTGCTCATCAGGTGTTCTAAGAATGTGCAGTCGAACCATACTTTTAATGCATGACTGCACCAGCCTTCTCAGTACGCAGGAAAACCAGTACGAAAGGCATATCGGTTCAGTGACGCTTTCTGCGTGGTTTTCATGCATGAGGACAGATGTGGATGGATGCCACCAAATAATGAAGGTGTGCCATTTACAGTTTTGCAGTCACAATGTGGTCTCTAGCCCCGAACCCTTCGTACAGAGCCCCTTTACATATGTTAGCCCCTGCCCCAATAAGTGACGAAAAATATACCCACTTCAAACTTGTGAAAATGACCATCAATGTTTCCATCATGTAGTTAACAAGGCAACAGCAGATGAGAAGTTTTTTCGAGGCCTACGGGCAAGCACTTCACTGATGGTGTTGGTAACCACAAACTGAGACACCCATACACTGCGAAATTCATCAAACGTGCCTTTATAATTTTTTTCAGCCCCCCCCCCCTTCTTGGCTCATTCTTTTTATGTAAGGAGGGTGGGATCTGGCAGACGAAGCTTAGCTTTCGAACCTTGCTAATATGATGGTGCAAGGCGGCAGGAAAGGCAAGTGATGCTTCTGTGAATTCCGGTTGTTATCCGATTTTGAGCTCTCTTCAAATCGTCTACACCGATTAAATTACTTTTTCAGACACAGAACAATTTTAGCCATTTGTGCTTGGACAGTGTATAGTGCAGATCAAAGTCAGCATAGATAAAAGTATTGAACAGGACCATAAGGGCAGTTTGATGATACCCTTCTACCCTATAATTTTTTATGATTTTTGTGTGATATTTGTGGAGCCGCACAATAAAGCTGAGTGAACATATTCCCTTAATCCAAAGATAGGTCTTCTACAGCCTCATCCTTTAGGTACGCTTACAGTAGGCACTGTGAAAATTTCAAGCAGCAACTTGATTCTTGTTGCGTAATGATCGCACCCCCAAATCTTAGATTTTTTTTTCTCTCACTAAGCCGAAAAATACAGTAAGCTCAAAGGCAATCTTGAGCAAATGTTGGTTTACTACACGATGATGTGGAGTTGTTTTAAAGTCTGCTGAATGTTACTTTAGCTGGCTTGGAGGCTCAACCAAGCTGCCGCCTTACGTTCTGATGAGTGTGAGGTCATCCTCGCGGGTCCAGTTGGTGCCGCCAGCCTCCTTCCAGTTGAGATAGTTGAGCCACTTTGTCCGACACTGCTTCTCTGAACGGCTGCCTACACGCTCTGCCACAGCAGTCCATGACAAACCACCGCTCACCATCTCTCCAGGCAACGCTCCACTGAGGTCATACACAGCCTCGGCCAGTCGCCGTTCTTCTGCAGTTACCCACACCCCTGCAAAAAAAAAAAGAAAGCTTTATTCAGGGTGAGTAATCAGGGTGGGTGTGCCTCGAGTGATCGCACTCAACAGCTCACAAAAAGTTGAACTGAAATCAGAAGTTCAACAGAAACCCTTCTGGTTGAAATAAAACATAATGAAGGAAAGGTAGTACGCCAACAAAATAAAAGAAACAAACACAGTTTTTTTTTTATCTTTTATTTGGTCAGCATACTTCCTTTCCTTCATCACTTCACTGAAGGTTACACAGCCAAGAAGCTTTTGGCTTCAAAACCATCAAGACTTGAAATGTGCTAGCTAGTAGGGCCCACGAAACCACGCAAAATTCAAAACATACCTTAAGAATTGCCGCCTTAAAAAGAACCAATGAGCCACTTTTCTACCCCATTAGCAACTGTTTGGTTTCCTTACTGCCCTTTAACTCTTTTGAATACCACGCAAAAATGGTTATTTTTCATATGTCGCGGGAAAACAGCGTTTGCCAATTTGAAAAATACTCTAGCATGCATTGCAGCATGCCAAATTTCGCACAATGAAATAGCCTTTCCAAAATATACGTTGTGGAGCAACACAAATCTTTTGAAATAAATAAAAATGAGAAAAGTGTGTGATTTGTGGTTGCCAGCGAGTAAACAGTGCAATAAAAAACTATAGTACAAGCAAAATATTCAAAACGAAGACAATTCAGAATATACGCTTTGAAAATAAATGCCCCAGGAACATGACCCAAGAAATGACCCAGGAATTGTACAAAAGATTTCTATTCATATAGGCAAAGAAAATCGGAACCCAGATACGGCTTTGTTGCTCGTTCCATACAATAAAGCATTGTATTTTTTTTTAAAGACACAAGTTAACTCGTACACTCTTCTCAGTAAATATTTGTTTTTTGGGTGATGTGAGCCTGCAGATGTTCCAATATAGACGCTAACCATGATGTTAATAATCCCTTATAAATCACATGTCCAATGCACTTCACTATTTTGTCTAGCGTCATCTCTTCCTATAAACCACTTCACTCCACATAGGTTGGTGTAATGCATTCAAGCATACTTCTTTGTATTTCTGCACATCGTATAAAAAAAAAGAACAATATTGTTACGAGGAGGAGACCGACTCGGAGGGGTAGTCACACATGTATTTACAGCCGGTTAAACGAGTAGCGCCAGCCACAGAGATTAGCTCGCGCCATTCTATCTGCTTTGTCTTTTTCAACTCCATGCACTGGCACGTAGCATGACCTCCAGCTGCAGAGGCACCGTCCCGGTGCTTTAAGGGTCGTTATCTGACGCATATTTATAGGGCTTGATCCGCGAGACGTGTACAATATATCACTGGACCGCACAGCAGATGATGATGGATGAATGGGGCTGATCTCGTAGGTGACAGGTGTTACTTGACGCAATATACGGTAGGGTCCCGTGTATTGAGACAGAAGTTTTTCTGATAGGCCCAGCCGACGATGAGGGGACCAGAGTAAAACGAGGGTACAGGAATCGAAATGTTCGTCTTTATGTTCCACATTGTACTGACGGCATTGGTTGGTTTGCGACGCTATCAGCCGAGCGTGAGCGAGCTCACGGGCATGATCGGCTCGCGCAATCGCGTCGCGGGCATACTTGCTGGTGGACTAGGTGTGAGCTGAGATGACTGTGTCCGGTGGTAAAGTCGGCTCTCTTCCGTACAATAAGTAGAACGGCGAAAAGCCCGCTGTGTCGTGACGGGATGAATTATACGCGAAAGTTGCGTAGGGTAAGGCAAGGTCCCAGTCTCGGTGGTCGGGGGACACGTACATAGCGAGCATATTTGCAAGAGTGCAGTTAAATCGTTCAGTAAGGCCGTTTGTTTGAGGGTGGTAAGCGGTTGTCAGTGTGTGTTGCGTGGAACAAGAACGCCGAATGTCGGCGATGACTTGGGATAGAAATGTACGGCCACGGTCTGTGAGGAGCTGTCTCGGAGCACCGTGAATCAATATAACATCCCGTAACAAGAAGTCAGCGACGTCGGTTGCAAAGCTGGTCGGTAGAGCTCGCGTAATAGCGTAGTCTCTAAACACGGCTATCCATTTGTTTCCCCATATTGATGTGGGAAAGGGACCAAGCAGATCTAACCCAACACGGTAAAATGGTTCTGCGGGTATGTCAATTGGTTGAAGATGGCCAGCGGGTAGCAGCGACGGTGTTTTACGACGTTGGCATAGGTCACACGTGGCGACGTATGGGCGTACCGAGCAAGCAAGGCCTGGCCAAGAAGAAACGGCGCGGGACGCGCTCGTATGTGCGGAATACGCCAAGGTGTCCAGCCGTGGGAGCGTTGTGAAGTTCGGTGAGAACGCAGCGGCGCAAATGCTTAGGCACAACAATGAGAAGGTCGGGCCCGTCTGGTCAGAAATTGCGGCACGCCCTTTTGAATGACAAAGTAGCAGATGGAAGCATCATTTGGGGAGGATTCCGTATGGCTGATGATGTCAAGCAGCACTGGATCGCGCTTCTGTTCTTCCCCGATATTAAGGAAGTTGGACACTGACAAGATAGAGTTCTCTGTGGGCTCGTCAGTTCCTCAGGATCGTCGACAGGGTACCGGGAGAGGCAATCGGCATCATGGTGTAGGCAGCCAGATTTGTAGACCACCGAATAGGAAAACTCTTGCAGGCGTAAAGCCCAGCGACCAAGGTGGTCTGATGGATCTTTCAGAGAGTTGAGCCAGCAGAGCACGTGGTGGTCGGTAACTACCCAAATGGGCTATAGATAAGGTTGAAATTTCGCCACCGCCCATACAAGAGCCAAGCACTCATACTCTGTGATTAAATAGTTACGTTCAGGGCAGATAGGAGGCGGCTGGCATATGCATTAACGCAGTCATGGCCATGTTGTTTCTGAGCCAGCACTGCACCAGTGCCATGTTCACTTGCATCTGTACAGAATTTCCGTAGGGGCAGCCAGATTGAAGTATGCCAGAATCTGAGGAGTAGTGAGAAGAGCGATGAGTGCTTGGCTCCTGTATGTGCGGTAGCAAAAACAAACTTGGCAATCCACTATAAGGAGTGCCGTTGTGTGCCGTATTTTGATAAAACTTTATATATCGTTTTATATCGGGACAGAGATTTATTAACCTGTTTGATTGTAGAAGCAGCAGAAATGACACGTGATGATTTTGAGTGTGTTAGTGCACCTTCTTTAATGTTAGTACACCTTCCTTAAATGTTCTTTCTGCGCTCACGCAGAAAGAACGTTTTTTGGATGGTGTGATAGATAATAACGGATGAGTAATGTACGGCACTGCATGTACGCTTTTTGTTGTTCTGCCTTTTATTATTTCTTCTCTTTCATCCCCTTTATATATTTTGACGTTTGCAATAAACATTTAGTTAAAGTTAAGCATTTGTGTTGTGTGTTCCTTATAATCAATGCTGCGCTTTTTACCAAGATAGAAACATCACAAGACTGGAATTTTCTTCTGTGAAAAATCCCGCAGCGTCGCTGTAGCTGCAGTCAAAGGGAACCTGTTGGCGAACTTGGCTCGATAAACATTGTCTGGCAAAATAGATACTGACGACACAGTACCCCTCAGCAACTGAAGTAGCTTGTTCTAAATAACGACATCAACTGCGAACATTCTTCGTTCCACCTCTCCGATTGCCAGCACAGTGATCACGCCTTCTTCGGTAGCGCCGTCGTTCCCGACCGTCCTTACGTCCCGCTCCGCCCACCTGCCACAGACCGCCCGAAAATGTCCAATCTTGTGACATTTGGAGCAACGTTTCCTACGTGTCTTACATTCTCGTGACTTAGCAAGGTGTCTTGTAGAGCCGCAGCGGTAACACCTGCGCACAGACGCCATTGTGGAGTCACCATCTAGGCTCCTGCCTTGGAAAAGGTGCTGTACTATGTTCGTTTGTGGCGATCCTTCGTCATAGACAGCTGCGCCCTCCACTGCCTGCTCATACGTCTGCAGCATTTGCACGGCTTTTGCCAGCGTAAGTTGTGACCCCCTTACGAACAATTTCTGTCGCAATTCAGTGCTTTATATTCTGTCAACAAGCCGGTCTCCAAGCTGCCTCCAAAAAATCCCCGAATTCACAACTCTTTGCCAACTGTCAAAGGGCACTGACGTACTCTCGTATCGGCTCATTTGGCAGTTGCCGACCTAACGTGAATTGACGTCACTCGACCAGTACGTTGACAGTGCTTGAGAACTGCCGCTCCAATAGGCCAAACACCTCGGTGTATCCCTTCCACTTGCCTCTGTCTTGTCTTCTACAGCTGCCTTGCTTGCCTCCAGCCCGGCTTTTGTCGTGTCTAGGGTCCGTGCCGGCTCTGCGGCCAGTGTGCGAAAAACACAGAGTCCTTCGACCTCAAGACTTTGCACCAGAATGGACTTGTTCCGTTGTGGCGGTTGCGCGTCCATCCCAGTCGCTTCAAGGGAATTTGTGAAATCATCACGCCACTGCAACCATGAAATTGTTGCATCTCTGGGAGTCTCCAGAAAAGGCAGTAATGGCGGTAGTCTGTTTGATTCCATCACGTAGGAGATGCCCTTTGGAATGGCAGGGAGCTAGCTAAGGGAAAGAGTTCGTCGTTAGCTTGGTAGCTTCGCTGACTGCGCCAGATTGTAGTATCACACAACGCTGAATGACAAGGCAAGATGATACATTGCCGAGAAAACCCTGTCTCTTATTTTGATGGCAATCTCTTATATACCGATGATGTCATTGACAGCACCCCCTATACCCAACAACCATGCTCAATGAAATTTCACGGATCCGTAGTACCCAAACTAACAATGAAGCTTAATTGCGTACACTTGCTGCTCGAGTTGAAATCTCAGAGAAAGAGTTGAAGTTAAGTCGCTGCACTCGCAACCTTCTTCTGATTCAAGGGATTGTGTCACTAATTTTGCTTCCCTAATAAAAGTCCTAGCAGAAAAATGTGACAATGTGGAAAACCATCAAAGATGCTGTAAATTACTATTCTTGAGAATTCCAGATGCAAACAAT